AGCAGGCGCATCTGACGACTCTGTACCTGCCGTGAGGGAAGCACAACATTCATCGCCTCCACACACCCTTTTTCTCCCTCAGGTACTCCCTGCTAATGTCCTGCACCCTGCTGCTGTCGTGGACCCAGCTGCTGTCACGAGCCCTCATCCGCTTCTGCTGACGCAGCCCCTGCTCCTGACCCAGGCCCACACACCCCAGCAGGCGCATCTGACGACTCTGTACCTGTCATGAGGGAAGCACAACATTCATCGCCTACACACACCCTCTTCTCCCTCTCTCCTCCCACAGATAGTGTGTACATAGACAGTTGTATCCAGCGACCCCGGCTCTGCCTCACATGTGCTAAGCAACTTTACAGACAACAAGTCTCCTACACGCCTGGAGGGAAGGGGAGTATGTAGTGGACGTCTCCCCCTACTAACTATGTCTTCCTAGCAACCAAACGAGCGGCCCAGGGGGGCGTCACCAGATGCCACAGTATCCTATGGAGTCAAAAGACCGGACTTCACGCTTGACTCACGGGTGACTCACGGCTGCTGTGTATATAAGCTCTGTCTCTCCATTAAGATTCATTCTGGCCTCTCTTCTTGAACACGCAACACCTCCTCCTCCGCCGCTGCCTGGCCGTCGCTTCTCCTCCGCCTGCCTGGCGGTCCTGCACTCCGCCGGCGAGCATGGCGACCCACCAGCTGTTCTTCTCTGAGCGTCCTCACCAACCAGCTCTCTTATTCTGCTCTCGGTTCCTGAACACGCAACACCTCCTCCAAGCAAGCTCCTCACTGTCCGCTCTCATTCAACCTGGAGGCCAGCAACAGGCAACATCTTCTCTAACGAAGCTCCTGCACATCTACCTCCTTCAGCACGCTACTCACCGAACGTGTCTACTGAGCAGCTCCTCACCACACGGCATCTCCAGCACCAGACTGTCTACCATATAACTTATATTATATTAGAAAACCACCACCTTAGAGTTTCCATCCATCCTGAGTGCTAGACAACATAATATCACGAAACCCTACAACCACTTCATTGCTGTATTAAAAAAAATATAATAGCACATAGGAGTTTACATTGCATGTTTTATTTTAATATGCCTGTTGTAAAATGGTGTTTCCACAGTGTTTTTCTAAACGTTGGCACAATTTCTTCATTGTTATCACTTCTAAATTTAATGTGTGATTTCTATCTTTACTAGCAGTCAATAAAATATAAAAGATATTTATGCCTAGTTTACTTCACCAAGTACCTTAACTTTATAATGTTTTTTTTCAGAAGTTAGCAAACTAAATGCAGTTTCGGTGGTTTTGGGTGGTTGGTGGTGTTGGGTGGTGGCATGTGTGGGGTCGGCTAGGCAGCGACAAACAGCGTTTGTAGGGGAGAATTCCACTACACAGTACTCGGCAATATTATACATACTGTATAGGCAGTATTATCCATACACAAATACGCATATATTATATTATGTATTATAAATACTAATATACTGTATATGATTGCACATCTAATATATGCATATATAAATACACGCTGTATAAAATAAATAAATATATATATATATATATATATATATATATATATATATATATATATATATATATATATATATATAAGGAGAGGCAGGGAAATCAAAAGCAGACTACTATAGGGGTAGAGTGCCCGTATAAACGAAAATAGTTTTGAGTGGCTCAACAGATGGCGTTGTTCGACTCGCTGGCGCTCACATTTTTTTTATCGTTATAAAGGGGCTCTTCCCTGTCATTCCAATAGATAGTCTTTGGAGCCGAGTGGCTAACGAGCAGTAGCAAAGAGGATAAAAGTAGAATGGAAAAATATACAAGTTATGTAATGTTGTACAGAATTAATTAATATAAATGTGGCTAAAATTTTTCCCCTTCCCTCTCTACCTTGATGGTGTTCGGTTATTAAATGATATCATTTAGCACTTCTTACGCTGCGTTGCATATTATGATATATAACAAGAATAATTTTTATTCTTCAAATTTTTGTGTAGCTTTACTTTCATAATGTTGCAGAAGACCAAGTAAAATATTATATAAGTGAATTTAGACAAAGGAATCGGAGGCGTTGTTGTCCTAAGTCAGCTGACCTGTGGCTGCTAAGCTGTCTTGATCCTGCTGCACTGTGTTGTTACTACTCAAGTCAGTGCTCGAGGAAGTCATTGTGTAACCTGTTTATACAGATCGTATACTGTACTTCATGATATGGCTGAGGTATGTTTATTAAATATTGTTTATTGAGGTACAGACCCCAAGGCTGGCGAGTCCTGAGGCCAAGTATTTATTTTAGGACCGCCCACGACTGTCTGGACCAAATGATGTTTTCGGTATTAATTTACTTTAGGACATAGCGCGCACATTAGTTACAAACCACTGAAACATTTAGTTCTTATTCTGAGCATTTTGAACTCCTATATACTAGGCGAAAATGGATAATAACGACACAATTGAAATTAATTGATTTTACGCAGTTTTCAGTCCACGTCTGTGAGATGTTATCAGCGCATCACGCTTGCAAAATATTGACTGACGTTATCCACTCGTGACCAATGATGTATCGATATCACGCAAATTTTTTTCGACCAATCACATTTGATTTTTTTCAAAGGAACCAGCCTAGGTAATTTCATTGACCAGTCTCACAATGGCTGTGGTGGAGGTTGGTTGTCATATGTGCTCCTACGATTATTTTAAGTTTATTGCTGAGTTTTACGAGAAAGACAATTATTGTCCAATTATTACGTATCCCAGGTCCTTCCACTTCTAATTAAGGAATTGTACTTTTGGACATGGCGTGCCCCAAAGTTTTTAACTACTGAAACATTTAGGTTAGCTTAAGCTAGGCCTACCGGGGGTCCGCCCTCAGCTAGGGGTCAGGTTAGTTAGGTTAGGTTAGAAGATTCGTTTTTGATTTCTCCTCCACCCATAAACTCTGGTTTCCCAGGTTCTCCCCCTTTATTGTTTGAGGTGGGGGGGGGGGGGGCAAAAATGATCAATTTCTGCCCAAAATGAAGGTTAGATTCGTTTAAAATACACTGGAAAAACATATTAGTCAACCCCAAGGGACTCATGTCCTAAAGTAAAAATTTAATTGTTTTTCTTTTATATTTTGTGTAACCCGAGAGTCGCGTGGTCAGCCTCCACGAGAAATAACTGTTACATTATTTCTTACCTTACTCCGAGTCAGGGACCAGAATGCATCGTGGGTTCCTCTGTTCTCTAAAGTTTCCTTATTTTTAGAATGAAATAATACAATAAACTTCCAATAATCAAAGTCGCACCCAGCAACCCAGCACACAATGGCTCCATGTTGCAACATTAAAAATGTCCCGCATCCTAGCAACCACACCGAATATTGAACACTAATTCGTTGAATCAAATGTTGAGTTTTTTATTGGATTTGATTGACTACCGCCCCAAGGCACATGCGCGGGAGGTAAGTGAACGTACGAACACACAATTTGAGCAACAGCGTAGGGGCAACAGGTGCTCTGATTTTATTCTTTTTAAAATTCATTAACTTCCTTATTGTCAATTTGGGTTAATATTTATGACTAACCCACGGACGAGTTATTTTTGTTACTGTTTATTTTCTTACTTTATTTTTGTCAGGTGAGTTCTGATATGATAATCATTTCTTGTGCAAATTTTTTGTTTCATAGATAATTAAGCTCCTAGGTGCACACTAATTAGTCTTCCCGGCGGTAATGAGGCCACACTCTGGTGCTGTGGGCTTGTGGCAGTTTCATTTTCAGCATGACGTGTGAAGGTTGTCGCCGGTCTTACTTTTTTTTTTTTTAACGGAAATTAGTCCACCCAGGCACAGGTAACTGACCCACATCGGGGCCTGGGGGGCGAAAATGTAATAATAATAATAATAATAATAATAATAATAATAATAATAATAATAATAAAGAAATACAAAATGAAAAAAAATCAAAAGGGAGGAACACTATATACAGTATATGTTGTGTTGTCAATAGTAAGAGAAACAATTGAGACCCTGCAATTGTGTGTAAATGAGGCAGAAAGTCAGAGCAGCAACCTGGGACTTGGTCACAATTTTTGTGATGCCATGTGGCAGCAAGATTTCCCACAGACAACACATTATGCTTCCAATATCTTCCCAGGCGGTAATACCTCCCTGTTTGGTAGCTGCCTAATACCTACTACCTACATGGACATAATTTGCAAATTTTGGGATAAAGACAACGAAACCCTTCAATTGTTTAAAGACCACGGCATTGTTCCTTTAAATAGAGACTGTCCACACTGCGGGAATTCCTGTGCTTTCAAACCGGAAAGAAATTTGTTCATCACTTCCTCAGTGCTCGACGTTTCCCGCCATCACAATAAATCACTCCGCCGCCCGGGCTGCATAAGAGCCGATGCGCCTGCATCATCTCACGTCCAAAAAATGCCTAAAATTTCACCGTATCATAGTAAGCTCTTTCTGTTTAATATACCGGGGAAGTTAGGTAAGGTTAGGTAGGTTTGTTTGGTTTGGTTGGTTGGTTGGTTAAGTTTGTACTTCATTCCCACAAATGTTAAGTAATGTTTATTTTAAAGATATAAATTGTTAACACATTTGCACAAACTACAACTGTCCACTATAAAATAACAGTGAAGATCCGGCATTTTTATAATCGTTTTTGATCAATTTTGGCCGCGGGTTAGTCATAAATAATTACCCAAATTTGCGACGGAAGTGTAATATAAGAAAATTATCATAGAAAAAATAGTTCTATCGATTGAGTGTAGTAAATTTCCGGAATTCTGTGGTTGCTGTAACTACAATATTACCCGATATTTATGGAGAAATGATTTGCCCCCACTACCAATGATAATAAGTGCACAAAGTTGGGTAAAAACATGCAAACAACTGAACCAATCAAACGCAAGGAAACACCAAGCCCGTCTTTACTTTACCAAATCATACATTGTATAACCTGTGGTAGAGGCTGATCGGTAATTATTGATGACTAACCCGTGGCCGAAATTGATAGAAAATGATTTTAAAAATGACGGATTTTCACTGGTTTTTTTATAGTGGACACCGTTGTAGTTAGTGCAAATGTGTAAAAAAATGGTTATTTCTAAAATAAACATAACTTAACCTTTATGGGTTTGAAAAACAGACATAACCAAACAAACCTAACCTAACCTTACCTAAGTTCCTTACTGGGGGGTTCTGATCCTTGGACCCCCCGGTATATTAAACAGAAAGAACTTACTATGATATGGTGTAATTTGAGGCTTTTTCTTGACGTGAGTGTAATATGGGCTTGTGGTTTACCTCTGTATTGTTCGTATGTACTAATGTAAGTAAGGGACATACACAATAGACCAACCACATGACCAATGTAATAGTAATATTGTCTGATATGAACAAAAGCACTACATAGTTGTATATTACAGTGAAAAAATCATGTACCTCTACAATACTATCTAATGTTTTGTCTATAAATTGTAAACAAATAATGTAATTATAATAATAATAATAATAATCAGAAGAATGCTGGTTGTTGGACTTGAATGTGTGGAGACCAGATAAGTGGTAATGCAGTACAATACAGTACACCTATACGTAGTACTGTACTGTATTGTCCAGTATTGTATAATATTTTTTAACCATTGTTGTTTTTTAATAATTGTATGATCCATTTATTCTTTTCAGGAAATGAAGAAATATCTACATGATCTAATGAACAGGTAGGCTACTGAAATTTTTTATATACAGTCGGCCCTTAACATACGCGGGTTTATAATACACGGATTTGCAAATACGCGGATTGCCCCGCTGGAGGAATATTCTGTACATTGAAGTAATTGACGTACATTCAAATCGCGCGCCTTTCAACTTGTGCGCGGCACCGAACACTGGACACCGCCCGCTCCCGCAACCTCACACACACACACGCATAGCTCTCCCTCACTCAGTCAGTCTCACTGTAACCACGCTTGTGTTGACATCAGCATTGTAGTTGCAAAATATTACATTTCCGTGAATGTATTATATCAAGCACAGTATGAATAGAATATCACTAATATAAGAGTATTTTAACCGAAAACTACTAAAAAAATGAGTAACATATCTTGAACATCGGAAGGCTAGGTAAAGTCTTTTGTTTTCATGTAGTTTATCCTAATTTACATTGAAATGCATTATGTTTCAGCAAAACTACTATTTATTTCTGAGAATATGGAAATGTAATATTTTGCTGAAATGACGTACGTATTACAGTGGAAAGTGACGAAAGCAATCACTCGCTTTCTTTCGTTCAAAAGATGTTACCGTAATAGCTTTTCGAATGGTTTTCAGTTAAAAGACTGTTGTATTACAATAATATTCTATCCTAATTCACTTGTGATGCAACAGTTTTTTTTAACTGAAAACCATTCGAAAAGCGATTACGGTAACATCTTTTGAACGAAAGAAAGCGAAAGTCATTGTTTTCATCACTTTCCACTGTAATACGTACGTCATTTCAGCAAAAATATTACATTTCCGTGAATATAGTATATCAAGCACAGTATGAATATAATATCATTGTAATATAACCGTATTTTAACCGAAAACTATTAAAAAAACGAGTAACATCTCTTGAACATTGGAAGGTTAGGTAAAGTCTTTTGTTTTCGTCATGTATTTTATCCTATTTTACATTGAAATACATCACGTTTCAGCAAAACTACTATTTATTTCTGAGAATATATTCATTCAGGCACAGTTTAGGTAAAATATACATGTGCTGTAACAATTTTTTAATTGAAAACGATCGAAAAACACATACCCTCTAGCCCTGTTCAAGGAGAAGACTGGGAGGAGCTGTTTGGTGCTTAAGACGATGACAAGGAAAATGATTTTGATGGATTTTAATGAAAATATTCAGAAAGACCCTGGCACTCTCAAGGAAAGTGGCTGCTGAAGGCTTCCAGGACATGGCAGAGGACGAGATTAGGGAGCTAATTGAAGAGCACGACACTGAGCTGACTGAGGAGGATCTACAGGAGTTAGTAGACTCAGGCAAGGAAGAGGAAGCGAAAGGGAAAGAGGATGAGGAAGAGCACCAAGAAATAACGTTGGAGAAGTTGGGGGAGATGACCAGGAATATTGAGGCACTGAAAAACCTGGCCTATAGTATGGACCCCTCCATGGTGCGTGCCCTGAAATTCATGCGAGGGATGGATGACGTTTTCGCTCCATACAAAAACATCATGGAAGAAATGAAAGAAAGAGACGACAACTCCCCATCACCATGTTCTTTGATCACCGAAGGAGAGATTTAACACCATCAATCACTGGCGACAGTGAGGAAGCAGCTGAATCCACAGCCGCCCCCACTTCACCACCTGTTATGGAATTGAGTGACGATGACCCCCGCCCTGTCGCCGAGGAGAGGTACGGTACAGTAAAGTGAAATTCTTATCTCTTTTTTTTAATAACTTTTCTTGCCATGTTTATTGTTTGTAAAAATGCACAGCACAGTACAGTTCAGTACAAGTACTGTACATAGGAAGTGGAGGTGCAGTTATTCACAAAACATTTGTGTTTGTTGTCGGCAGTAGTGACGGTGCAGTGGGAGCGGAGGGAGCGAGTTGGGAGGAGTGGTGAGGTGACCTTGGACGCAGGAGCAGGGACGAGTGGAGATGCCAGCCAGTATATTTCGGGTGTATTAATTGTTTTTATAGCTATTTTTGCATTTTAATATTAAATACTGTACATTACGTTTCAACAAAACTACCATTTATTTCTGAGAACATAGAAATGTAATATTTTTGCTGAAATGATGTACGTATTACAGTGGAAAGTGGGATAAAATTGTGACGCAAGTAATGATTTTCGCTTTCTTTCGTTCAAAAGATGTTGCCGTAATTGCTTTTCGAATGGTTTTCATTTGTGGGATTATAAGGCTAATGATAGGATAGAATATTATTGTAATACAGTACGAGTACAGTACAACAGTTTTTTAACTGAAAACCATTCGAAAAGCGATTATGGTAAAATCTTTTGAACAACGAAAGAAAGCGAAAGTCATTGTTTTCATAATTTTATCCCACTTTCCACTGTACAGTACTCCCTCTTTATCGACGGGGGTTACGTTCTGTAAACGGCCGTCGATAAAGAAACCGTCGATACCGTGATGGTTACGTAATTTTTCTAACTATTATTAGCATATGTTGAATAAATGTACCTTTAAGCATTAATGCGTTTCCTTTACACATAACCTTAAATAATAGTGTATAAATAATAATATAATAAGTGGACAAAAATACTAGCAAACTTACGATTTCATTTATTGAAGTGAACATCGGTCCTTACAGTAAACAATACAGTGTACAGTATATACAAGTGTGATGATTGAGGCTTATTAAAAGCCTGACCAGTCAGATGAGTATGATTAGTCAAGGTCTGCATCTTCTTGAGGGGTGTGGGCAGGTACTGCGTCTTGTTGTTGTGAGGTGCCGGCAGCTTCTACGTCTTGTTGTTGTGAGGTGTCGGCAGCTTCTGCCTCCTGTTGCAGGATGCCGGCAGGTTCGGCGATGGCAGGCACTCGGCGACTGAAGAAGTTGGTGATGGTGGTCTGTGCTTTCTTGCTTCTCATTTCCCTCTGCAGTTCTATATATGGCAACATAACATTTTCAATAGCTCTCTTTGCTTTAAGGGACCTATCAAGGGAGGGATCAATGTCATAGAGACGAGCAGAGAGGGCCTTACTCATTCTTATTACTTCACCAAGATTATCTAAAGTTAAGTTCTTATTTTCATCATCACTCACTTCATCTTCTGTTTCATCCTGCAGCTCCACTAATTGTTCTAGTTCATCACTTGTAAATGGATCCCCAACATTTCCCAATAACTCTTCTTGCACCTCTGCCGCTGTTAAGTCAGAGAACCCTTCACCTCCAACTTCATTTGCCATAGTTATTATGTTGCGTAACTGAGGCTCGGCTGTTGGGAACCCTGTGAATGTTGGGACAATTTCAGGCCACAATTTTTTCCAACATGATCGGACACAGTTCTGCGACAGTTCATTGTGGCTTTCAGCGATGAAGTTTATGCACTGTGCAATATCAAATTTCTTCCACATTTCTCTGGGTGTCACATCAGCATCCTTATCAAGGCACTCACGAATCATGCTGAAAGTCTTCTCTGCATATTTAGCCTTAAACACGACAATGACTCCCTGGTCCATTGGCTGGATGATGGAGGTGGTGTTTTTTGGCAGGAAAACCACCTCAATGTTGGGGTGGGCAGTCTTGAGTTCTTCAGAGTGGCCAGGGCAATTATCTAGATATAATACCACTTTGAACTCCATGCCAAGTTCATCCAGATAATCTTTCACCTCTCTAGCAAAGCAGTTTTTCAGCCAATCCACGCACAAATCAGATGTCATCCACGCTTTCTTCTTGTTCCTGTAGAAAACTGGTAGCAAGTTCATGTTTTTATTTTTGAGAGCCCGAGGTCGTGCGGCAGTGTATAACAACATGGGCTTAATCATATGCCCTGCCGCATTCCCACATAGCATCACTGTCACTCGGTCCTTCGCAACTTTAAATCCAGGGGCACTTTTTTCCTCTTTAGAGATGTAGGTTTGGCGTGGCATCTTCTTCCACCATAGGCCTGTCTCATCAGCATTAAAAACTTGTTCCGGCCTATAACCCTTTTGTGCTATGTGGTTAGCAAACTCTGCAGGGTATGCTTCCCCTGCCACAGTGTCTGCTGATGCTGCTTCGCCAGTCACTTTTATATTATGCAGCCCATAACGATGTCTGAATTTCTCGAACCATCCTTTGCTAGCTGCAAATTTTTTCAAATTGTCACCATCACCCTGATTATCACCATCACCCTGATTATCACCATCACCCTGATCATCACCATCACCATCACCATGATCATCACCTTTAGAAAACTTATCATAAAGTTCCTTAGCTTTCTGCCTAATAAATTTCGAGTCAAGTGGTATGCGGCGGCGGTTTAGGTCCTCTATCCAAATGTTCAGTGCTTTTTCCATTTTAATGAGGGCATCATCACGCACATGGCTTGTCACTTTTGATGTCACTGGTGCACTTGAAGCTAAAGCGTGCTTCAGATCCTTTGCACGTCGTTTAATTCCACGCACACTGGATTCGTTGAGCCCAAAGTGGCGGCCAACAGCTGCATAGCTCATACCGCTGTCGAGTTTCAGCACTTCATTCTTCTCATTCAGCGTCAGCACTCGTCTTGCCCTCTTAGGTGTAGATCCAGAGGGAGCAGCAGGTCGTTTGGGAGGCATGGTGATATAAGTTGATGTGATGAACCACCAGCAAAAGTTGAAAATCAAAGACTGTTGCCCACGCGGCTTGGCTGATGTCTGTGTTCAGGGAAGGCGGGCCGCGGGTAGACGCTAGTCACGCCACTAGTGCCGCCTAGCGGCGAAAGTACAAACAAGGCCCGCAGAGTTCAAATAAAGCCAAAATATAAATCCGGGTAAATAATCCGTTGATAATCGAAACCGTCGATAAAAAATCCGTCGATAAAGAGGGAGTACTGTACAGTAATATGTACGTCATTTCAGCCAAAATATTACATTTCCATATTTATTTCTGAGAATATATTCATTCAGTCACAGTTAAGGTAAAATATACTTGTGATGTAATATTTTAATGAAAATACGGTATCGTAGTTTTCTTTTGTATCAAATTTAATTGACAAAGATTGATGTTTCAAA